AAAAAAATTTTGTATTCCAAAGTACATCTAGCCCCAGAGGTTTTAGATAAGGGATTGCAGACCTGCATTTTGCTAATTAGGCAAATGCAACTAAACTTTTAGCTCATTTTATATATACTTACATATGAATTATACTTAGTAAGGTATGTGCGTACAACTTAATATGCTTGATCTGAGGTTGGTGGACTTGCAGAAAAACCAATCTTAAATGGCCTTGTCTTTTCATAGCTACTTGCTAATTCTACCACTTACCAGCTTTCTGATCTTGAGCTAGTTATGTATGGTTTCTATGCCTTAGTTTTCTCATTTGTAAAATGAGAATAATAATAATAATAATATGCAAAACTGTATAAAATTGTTCATGTCCCTCTGTTTTTCTTTTCCTTACAACTGGCAGGTTTGTGGTTGGTCAGCCTAGTACCTATCCCACAGAGTTAGGAAGAATCAATGTGTGATGACACTTAAATCTATAAGACAGTTAGAACAGAGGCTGCTGGCACATAGGAAGTACTCGATATTTATTTGTTAAAAAAATAGAATTAAATGTATTAATCATTTAAAAAAAATTTTCTGCATCTTATGATATTTTGACGTCTTAAAAATCTGGCATGGGGCCGGCCCGGTGGCGCACTGCTGTAGTGCGCTGCTTGGGAAGTGCTGCGGCGCTCCCGCCGAGGGTTCGGATCCCACATACAGACCAGCCGCTCACTGGCTGAGCGAGGGGCGGGAGCAACACCGAGGGTTGCGATCCCGTGGCCGGTCCCGGTCCGGTACGGGCGCGACACTGAGGGTTGTGATCCGTTGCCGGTCACGAAAAAAGACAAAAAGGATAAAAAAAAATCTGGCAGCTGGGGAGAGAAACTGCCTCTCCCAGGGCTAGCCAATTTTTAGAGATAGCAAAGGGTTCAGACTCTCATTTACAACAATATCCAAACCAAGTAATCCCGAGCCCAGGTGCCCAACCACACCTTTATCTAACTCACGCACGAAGCTGTACTTCCCCTGCCCTAAATCACGCCAAGGCCAGGTGCCAGGCAACTAGAGACTATTCCTATGTTCCAAAGCCCTCCAGACTTATTCAAACTAGCCAGTCCCAAACTGTATACTCTGCTTTGCCCTGCCTTCTCTTCAGAAACCCTAATAAAGGCTCTAGCATGGGTTTTCCCCTCATTTCTGCTATGCCTCCTGACTAAGACCTGATGTGTCCCCTGTGGTCCCATATGGCATGCGTGCCTACTTCTTTAGGGAAGTGCAAGTAATACACTGTTTCATCAATGGCATTAGCCTCTCTGTGTGAACTCTCAGTACCTTCATGAAATAAAATTCCCCAGGTACAAATGGGACAGTACGTTCAGTGAGTCACTTGCCTGGATGGTCCCATTTCCTCTACAACATGATAGTTTTATACTAGATGGTATATATAAGTTCTAACATGCTGCTTTCCACAAATTTACAGTTTTACTACAGTTCTTTTGATCTGGCACTTAATAGTCCTGTGTCAGCTAAGGGAAGGTATCAAACAATTCTGGCGATGAAAAGAGAAATAATGATTCCCAAATGGGACCAGTCATCTGTGTAGTTTTCCCAGGGACTAAAGGCTGCAGACAGAGGCAGGTCTGTATCCTGCTGCTGCTTTTAAATAAGTGCCATCACCGTGTCTGAGATGGAGAGTAGTCACAGGAGGAAAGTGGTGTCCCTCTGCGTCCCTTCCCCAGACCATGAGTTACCCTGAACCCGGCCACCAGTGAGAAGGCTCCCTGGACTCACCATGTGTGACGTGGGCCTGGGATCCAAGGGCAGCAGCAAGGATGAGGAAGGAGAGGGCAGCTGCAGAGACCTTCATCTTCCTGGTGGGCAGCAGAGCCGGCCTGAGGACTCCCGGGCTCGCTGCTCCCTGCCTCTCCAGGACGCCAGCTCTGTCCTTGTGTTTATAAGAGCAGGAGGATCAGGAAGTCACAGGGCAGAGGTTGGAAGGTTGTTCATTAGCTATTTCATAGCTCACACACCATTTCTAAAAAAAGGGAACAAGGCTGAGAGTGCAAGAGGAAGTAGAGGGCAAATCTGACTTGAACTTGTCCCCAGGGGCTTCCAGAGCTGTCCCAATGGGTACAGGCAAAGGCAGTAAATATTTCAAGGAAGAGCCTTTCCTCTGGGAGATTCATTTACTCCTCTAAATCCGGGCCTGGGGTGGGAGTGAGAGACTATTTCACACTTCCCAACTTGGATTAGGACTTGGTGTATACTGTCTTGTGTCCATTTCCAGTTCTGTTCCTGGAGTCTCAACCAGAGGGACTTTAAAGATAAGAGCCAGTCAAGTTGGCCACCAGAATGGAGAGCTTGAGGGTCTCAAGATTAGGGACCAGGAGATTTTCCCAGGCACTGATGATACCAAGTCCTAACCAGTACTTCCTGGACCTTCGAGTGCCCCAAAAGCCTATGATCGGGTGACCCCTAGAGGGAACACTCTAACATGTAAACTTGGCCATGTGATTCCTCACGCAGATTCTGCCAGAGACTGACCTTGGGCTCAGGGTCAGTTCCAATTTTTTTTTTTTTTTTGGTGACTGGCCAGTATAGGGATCCGAACCCTTGACCTTGGTAAATTCTAAAATTTTTGTCTGAGGGTAGAAGGCCTTTCAGTATTGGATCCTCCTTGCATGTACAGCTCCTCTGTTTTCCAATGTAATGACATTTTAATGCATACTAAGTTTACAGTTAATGATGCATTTATTAATTTAGATCTTATACTTTTTTCTTTTGAATTTTTTTTTCAGGACCCCAATATTATTGCCTAGTGGATAAATTGGCCCTATGCTATACTAATTCCTACTAACCCATCAACTCTACTCAGCAGTGACCTCTGCCAGGAAGACTTCTTGGCTCTCATTGCCTCTAGGCTGGGCCAGGTGTCCCTCCTAAGTGATTCCACAGCATCTGGCACTTAAATCTACCATAGCTCCTGTCGTGCTCTATTTTAAATGTTTACTTACTTCACGGCTCCCTCCCAATACAATGAGGTTTGAGAGAGAGAGAGAGAGAGAGAGAGAGTCAGTCTGTGTGTGAGTTTGTGTGTGTGTGTGTGTGTGTAGTTAAACACATGAGTTCTACCCTCTTCACGAACTTCCCAGAGTACAGTTGTTACAAGGTCCTTAAAGAATGTTTTCAAGGACGAGGTAGTTAACATAAAACAAATAGTGTGAGTCTCGAGTGCAAATGCAGAATCATAATAATGAAATGAAGGTGAGTACTTCTCTTTTGGTTAATAAGCAAAAAAGTCAATTAAAAATTACTCGAAAATAAGAATCTACATGAGATTATCAAGGGTCACATATTAAGTAAACATGGTAAAAGACACTGTTTTCTAAACTGTAGTGAAAACTTTGAAGGTTAGCTATTTTGATAGGAGAAAATGAGACATTCATGTGAATTTGTGTTTAATCTCTTTGGGGGATATAATAATTCCCATCTTTTATCATTATTATTGCAGGACTTTTTTTCTAATAGTGATTTATTGTTAGAAACGTTATTTGATTATTGATCAGTTTTCTGCTATTGATTTTTTAGGCAAATCACCCTAAAAAAAAGGATAGGTTCTAAACTTTTTTTTTTTTAAAGATGACCGGTAAGGGGATCTCAACCCTTGGCTTGGTGTTGTCAGCACCACGCTCAGCCAATGAGCAAACCGGCTATCCCTATATGGGATCCGAACCCGTGGCCTTGGTGTTAATCAACACCGCACTCTACCGAGTGAGCCACAGGCCGGCCCTAAACTTTTTTTTAAATGAAAAATATTTTATTGTTGTTTAGAATTCAGTGCTGTCTTTTGAATTTTATAAAACAGTTGACCAAGATGTACTAATTATAAACTTATATGCTAAACAAAGGTGTATATAAAATTGATATTAACTCCATCTTTAAATGTTTTTTTTTTAAATGTCCTTTAAGTTTAGGGGAGAAATCTCTTAGAAACTTATGTCTATTAAGAAAAACATCTGAAACTTAGAAATAGGCAAAAGAATGAGTGTATACTTTTCAAAGTCATATTGGAATGTTGTCTAACAGGCCCACTTCAGGATTCCTTAAATCTGTAGGAGAATGTACGTTTTAAAATATACATATATATTTTTTAATTCTATTTTTTTTAAAAAGTTTTAACTTGCACATTGTAATTGTACATATTTATGGGGTACAATCTGATATTTTGATACATATATATGTTGCATAATAACCAGGTCAGGGTAGTTAATCACTTCATGCATTTGTCATTTCTTTGTAGCGAGAGCATTCAAAAACCTCTCCTCTAGCTATTATGTAATATGCAAAACTTAACTGTTAACCATAGTCACCCTACTGTGCAATAGAACATCAGGGAATGTTCTTTTGATTGATGTTTTTCTTACTATTGATCAACCCCAGACTTTGTGAAATTACATGTTAACTTGTGAATTTTTGACTAGCACAGATACAAATGATTCCTGTTCACTGGGAAAATAATCCAAAGGTTACAGTTTTATTATTGCCCTATATACAGGATATTAATCTGTACTGTAATTTAGCAAACGTATTTCAGAATGTCATCCCCAATTAACTACATATATCTCTGTTCCTCAAATGACCTTTGAATCAATTTAATGGTTCTCCCACTAATGAGTTAAATACATCTTTGACTCATATTCAGCCTAAATTTAAATGAGTTATATTTTTAGCTTTTTAAAAAATTATAATATGATGTCTCTTGTTTTGAAGACAATACTTATCCAAAGTTCAATAATTCCTTCAGTTTCTTTTTCCTCTTAAAATTCAAGTAAATTAGGGCCGGTCCCGCGGCGCACTTGGGAGAGTGCGGCGCTTGGGAGCACAGGGGCGCTCCCACCGCGGGTTCGGATCCTATATGGGGATGGCCAGTGCGCTCACTGGCTGAGCGCGGTGTGGGCGACACCAAGCCAAGGGTTGCAATCCCCTTACCGGTCACAAAATAAAATAAAATAAAATAAAATAAATTCAAGTAAATTGTATACTCTTTATTAGATGCATTGCTTTAAAACCAAAACAGAAGAATAAATGTTTTTTTAAAAAAAGAATTCAGGATATAGTTTTTGCAAGAGAGTTGGAGGTGGGCAGCTGGTAACTTGTGTGTCTTCTCAAGTAAATTTTATTGTTCCGGGGCCCATGGATACTGGGGAACTCTTCAGTTTTCTCATGCAATCCTGAACTTGCTCATTGCTGGGGTTGGCACAGACACGTTGCCCCTTCTTAGTGAGGAAGCTGGGGAACAAGGGGGAGAGAGATTACAATCTCAGGTAACTTTAGCAAATGGAGACGGGGAACTCCATCCTCCCTGGCCCTCAGATTCCCCACTCAACGCAGCCTGTACTTTCCATTCTCTGCTGATGGCATCTCAGGGACAATGTCCTCCTGAGACCCTCCCTTAGCCTGTGACACTCCTTAGTGACTCATGGGAGCGTCCTTGGGCAGCTTTCTGCCTGCTCTGTCCTTCCTTCCCTCCCTCCTCTCCACTGGGAATGTCTAATACCTGATGCCCTGAAGGATCCTAGTAAGGACATAAGCTGCCCCTTTCCTGGTGGGATCCTGGTGGTGGGGGTCGGGGTGGGGCTTCTCTGGCACACCCATCCATCAGATCCACTGTCCAATACCTGCGGGCTCCCTGTCCCCCAACTCATGGTGGGTGAGCTTGGTACTTACATGACACCTGGCTGGGAGCACCCACTGCTCGTTTCAAAATAACTTGTCATGAATAAACATCGGATGCTTCGTTGGGTGTAGGAGAAGCAGCAGTCAGGAGGGTGGTAAAAGCCTGCAGAGAAAACTGTCCTTTCCCCTTTCCTCAAGAGTACCGTAGAGGGTGAAAAGGGACAGGACTCAGAAGGAATGTTTCCTCCTCCTCAGCCAGCCCTTGGTGGCATCTCCTTGCATCAGACACTCCCCAGGGTTGAGTTGTGTGTCTGAGAGCACCCAGGGTGGGCCACAGCAAGGCCAGGAGCATTTCCCCAAGAAAGAGAAGACATCTGCAGATACCTGCAGGCATTAGAGAGCACACTGTGCCCCAAGTGAGCAGACTCTCGGGACAGCCAGGTGGGAAGAGAGAAGGCACCTATGGACGAGGTACCCGTGACCCATCCTGATCTTCCTTGGAGATGTGCACCACCCTCAGGGCCTTCCTGCTCCCCACATCCTCTATGTGGGGTGGACGGAAGCCATAGTGCAGACCTGTACCTTCCTGCTGCTTTTAAATATATGCTGTACTTGAATATTTACCGTGGTGATGAATTGAGTGTTCAAACTGATGCTGTGACACCGTGGATTTTCTTGTCTCTGTATCTGGAAGAAACAGACAGGGTGGGAGAGAAATCACTGGGAGGCAGCAGTGTCACCATCTCCACCTTGACATGCCTCGCCCCCTCCCGAGAGAGAGAGAGGTGCCAGTGCTGGACTTCTGTCACCTGCCTATGTTCTAGGTCTGCCTCCAGGCCCCTTTGTTCCATTAGGGCCCTGAGATTTTTCAGGG